ACGAATGCTAATGCAAAAGCGAAATTATTTGGAAATATTTTATTATTAGTCTAATGGGGCAATTTGCCCAGAATGACTATTAATTTCGTTTTTGCATTTTGCGTTGATTCACGATAAGCGTTTGTTTCACTTTTCAAATTCTTGCCACCAAATACACTCTTTTGCAAGACAATCGAAGCACCAAAGAGTACTTTTGCGATTGTGATGAAATTCGGAATGCAGAAACATCTTGATCGAACATGCAAATGATCAAAGTTTCAAGGCAAATGAACAGGAATTACGATCATAGTGCGCATTTCTAGTGCGCAATTCGCAAAGTATAAAACCAGTACCAGAGGCGGAAAATTTATCTTTTTTGTTGACGCCATTGTAATTCCGTAAAGAAGCAACTAAAGATGTTATTACGACGATATCGAAGACTTACAGACAACTAAACGACTTCGAACGTGGGCACACTGGTGGCATGAAGCTGGGTGCTCATACCGAGCAATAGGCCGCCACCTGCAGCGTACAGACGCTGCTGCGCAATGATGTTGGCGGCGATTGTTGCTACAAGGAAATTGCTGAAGAAATGAAGGCTCTAGAAGGCAAAGAAGCACAAATGTGAGGCAAGATAAGATAATTGTTCGCCAGGTCCGAACCCCCCTCCAACGGTATCATTCTTGACTATTCACGCACTACAACCACCGTGCAATCTGTAAAAATATGGAAGTTAGAATTTCTTGCAAAATTACTTTTCAATATCCATTTAAGGGCATAGAGGACGGCGATGAGCTCGGCTTGATAAACAGAGTTATATTTTTCAAGGCCCAATTTATAGTGATAAATCTCAGTATCAAAATAATACACAACAAAAGCCGAACCCACCCCGACCTCATAACCCGATCCATCAGTAAAAATTTGGTATTCCGTTAAGCAAGGATCATAAATATTATAATTGATAGAAATACGGTTTGCCGGATGGATCACATGTAAATTAAAGACAGAAAATGAGTCAGCAAAAACTGGGATTTCATCATAGTTAAATAAGTCCGAAATATTATTTCTTAATATAGTTTTATCATAATAAAACTTGTAGATTATCGAGAGAGGCGGAGTGCCCGCCAGGACGCAAAGCACCTCTCTCGAGACTGTGTGGAAACAACGGGTGAGCGCGAGAAGCCAGCTCCGCTGAATGGAATTGAGTTTCGTACGTAAGTGTAGTAACTCCCCTGCCCTGCGACCCCAAGCCGTAATTCCATACATAACAATGGGTATAAAAACATTATTATAAAGAAGTCTTAAGATATCGTTTCTTTTATTCAAGATATTGGATGGGTAATTTCTTTTGTAAAAATTTAAAATTAAAATCAGTTCGGTTTTTGAATATAATTAAGATGATAATTAAAATTAAGTTTTGAATCCAAATAAAATAAAACACCTAATATTTAAATTCTTGATTGATTTTCAGAATTTTTTCACGGTTTTCTTTAAATCTTAATCTAGGGGGCCGAGTGTGGCGACCGAACTTAGGAAAAAGCAAAAAAAAAAATTTAGTTTTGGCAGCATTTGATTTCATTTGCTCCTCAGAACACCATTGATTAAAAATTTTCATAATGTTATTAAATTTATTTTCAACTTTTTCTAATGCTTCAGCTGTAATTAGGAAAACCAAATCGTCCGCATAAGCAACCACAACGACCCCCGAATCAAATTCTGTCTTTAAAAATTTATCGACTATGAGGCCCCAGAACAGCGGAGCACTACAAGATCCTTGTGGACAGCCTTTGAAGATACTTCTTTTAATTTCAATCATGTTATTCGGTTTATAGATTAGAATGCTATCATTGAAAAAGCCCCTAATGAGTCCGAAACTATTTGAGCTAATACCAATATTACACAAGGAGGAAACAAGAGAAGGCCAAGAAACGGCGTCAAAGGCACCGGAAATATCGACGGAGACCACCGCGACGTGCAAATTAGGTTTATTATATCTTGTAAAATCAACCACCCGGTAGAGAGCGCCCTCTGTTGACCTACCAGGGACAAAAAAAAACTGTCTTTGTGAAATTAAGTTATTAATAAATAAATGGTGATAAATCCTTTTCGTAATCAACTTATCAAGAGTTTTAGCAAAAACTTTCAGTAAACAAATCGGTCGAAAACGATTCTCTTCCCTCGGTATCAAAATAATCTTAGCCATTTTCCAAGCGTTAGGAAATGTGTGTAATTCTAAACATTTATTAAACAGTGTTAAAAAAAACCAGGAAAGAAATCAAAAAATATTTTAATAAAAGTCGGGGTGATCCCGTCGAGACCGGGTGCACTCCTTAATCGAATCGCGGAAATAACAGAAACGAGTTCGGACCTGGTGAACTGTTTTTCCTCATAGCCAGCATAATCACCAAAGCAAATTGTGTCATCACAAAAACCAAAATCAAGAGCATTATCCAATATAATTTTTCGTAATAATGTTGAGGATTCAATAAAAATCACTTGCCGAGTAAGAAATATTTTTTTTTACTCTTATTAGTAGCATTTTTAAAAGGTTTGTCATAATAATTTTTAATTTTTTGAAATTGAATGTATTTAAATTCACGTTTAGATTTACGAAATTAGTTTTCTGTATAATGCAAGTTCTCTTTTGTATTCAATTTTTCTCTTAATTCTTTCATCGCAATTAAGGTCCCTGACCTGAGATCTGGACCTCAGAGCACGGACTCTCCTACGAGTACGAGCCAGTCCGTCATTCCACCAAGTGGCTAAAGATTTATTTTTCTTCCTACATTTTAAAAGTTTTTTCATATTTGAAGTCAAAAACTCTTCCAGATCAAAAACAAAGTTATTTAAGTCTTTTTTAGAGTCAATATTTCCCAGAAGATATTCAAATTTCCTAATTTCTTTTTTTTTTTTTTTTTTTTTTTTTTTTTTTTTTTTGTTTATTACAAAAGGAGCGAATTCGCCTGCTATCAGCCGAAATAACATAAGTCATCAGAACTCAAAATTTCAATTTTTCTAATATCAATCAAAATAAAACGATGATCGCTGTGTGATTCTTCATCAAGAATATCAAGCTGAATATCAAACTGATTCAAGGAGAAGGATCCGATTACAAGATCGGTCCACCCCTGCCCAACCGAGGAAAACAAATGTAGGAGGGGAATCCGACTCATTTAAAAGAATCAAGTTCATTTGAGTTATAAAATTAAGAGTTAACAGTCCCCTGGAATCGTTCAATTTAGCCCCCCATATAACATGTTTTTGCATTAAAAATCACCACAAATTATAAAAATTATCAAAAAGACTAACAATCCCTTCCAGTTTCAATAAGTGTGGGTTAAGGTCCTCGGCGGGCGAGAAGTAGACCGAAATTACGCCAAGATCAATCCCCTCGCCGTAAATACGTACTGCCACTATAGTATCCTCCACATGGGCTAACAAAAAATTAATAGAGCTATTTGGAAAAAGAATGGCGGCTCTTCCCCCCTCCTTGATAACTGCTCTCCAGTTTTCCGGTAGAAAAGCAGGGATGCCCCGAACCAAATAAGGCTCCTGGATTAATAAATATCAATCTTTCTTTGAATTAAATTTTCGACCACTCGGAAGCTGACACAGCAGCGGTTCTACAGTGGTTAAGATTAATGTTAAGAATATACATCAATTAAATTAAAAATGAGGGAGTCCCATCCACTCATAAAAAAAAAATTTTAAATTGTGTTATATATTAGTGTAAAATATAAATAATCCCTAACTCATTAAAATATTTTAATAATAATAATTAATTTGAAATTTAAACATACAAATTATTGAAAAACAAATATACCAGAGAGTTATAGAAAATGAACTTATAGAAAGTTCATTACACACTTAAAAATCCTGTGTCAAAATTCGTGTGGTGTGCCTTAATGAAATCTAACTCCCTTTTATAGAATAGGACACTCCTTTGAATTGGCATAATGAGCAGTATCAGAATCAATGCGAGTCACATTATTAGCCGTAATACAATTAATACAACAGTGTGTTGATTCTTATTTTGGCATTCTCTCGAATTGTGTGTGCCAGCGCACCAACGACAGACTGAAGCATTTGGACAGAATTTGGCAACATGACCATATTCCTGACAGTTTAGGCACTGTTTAGGTCTTATAAAAAGATTAACATCATAGGTACGCCATCCAATGGAGATACTTCGGGTAATCCAAGAAATCCAACTTGGCATAAAGGCAAAATCTGAAAAATCTTGTGGCTCAAATCATTGTCTCTCCTGTTCTGAATTTCAAAAAGAAAACATGCACATTTCTCAGTACCACATTTGCAGTTACCCTTAGGGCTTTTATTGGGCTTAGGGCTTTATATTTAAATCATCGTTTGAAAGATGCTTAGGCAAACATTATAGATGACGTAATCTTAGGAGTAATAAATCTTCTTCTTCCTTGTACGAAATGATCCTCATTACATTCTTTTCGAGAGCTGATTTGTACATCCAGCCTTGAAACTTCTTCGCTGGAGCCTAATCTTAGTACATCACCATTTCTTCTAACAAATCTCTTACGTAGATGAACCCCAAGGAATTCAGGGGCCAGTAAGTTCTCCAGTACATCGAGTGCAGATACACCTTCCTTCAAAGGTCCAGATAAAATTGTGGGAAAAACTTTAAAAATTATTTAAAGCATTTTTAAGACTATTTGGCTGGCTTGTTTTGTGATATTGTGTTTATTTGATTTTATAGAAATTTTTGAAAATATTTGGGGTGACTTCTAATTTTATTTTGCTGGTATTGTGCAGAAATTTTGTAAATATCTGTTTTAACTGTTCTTATTGAATTTTAAGATATTTTATTGTAAATATTTTGTGTTCTTATTATGTGTAATTAAGTATTTGTATGAAAACAGACCGCATGTATTGATATTTTAATGTATTTTGGATAATTTTGTAAGTATTATAACTCTGGTATATTTGGTGAATTGTTTTGGAAGGAATTTTGTTTGTATGTTATGTTAAAGAATTGATACCGTTGTAGGATGCATGAATCAGAATCTGTTCCTAGTTCTGTTGGTGCTCATCCTCGAGAAGAGGATGTATCAGAAATTGTTATAGATGGAGCCAATGATATTATGACTATTGTGCGAGAGTTACATGGAATAGTGGATAAAATTAGAAGTCAAAAGAAGATCGCGGTTACGTTGCCTGATAGACTTACTGCCGGGGGTTAGACAGGATTCTTTTGCTTGCATCTGCTCAGGCGGTTCATTTAGTCGAGGCTGATGCTCTTCGTAATAACAGACAAGAACTTAAGTACGTTAGAGAAGGAAATTGCTGATCTTAAAGATATGATTGTGAAAAGATCTTGCTGTAATAGAAATAATGTTGTCCTCTGATCGTGTTACGGAACCGATTGCGAAAGTTGATGGTCTGGATGAAATTATTTTAAAAACCAATTGATGAAAACATTGATGCCTTCAACGAAATTAGCAGTATGATTAGACCGGAAGATCTTAAAATCAAGATTAAAAAGTCTATCAGGAGAGAAAATGGTGATTTTTTACTTAAATTGGGTAGTCGTGAAGAGGTGCAGAGGAGTATGCTATTGAGAAAAAAAGAGAGTCTTAGAAAATTTATTAAGCCGAGACGTAGACTTTTTATTAAACCACGCGTAATTGTTTATGGTGTTGGCTCTTCGGTAACGAATGAAAGTATAATAGATGCTTTTAAACGCGGTTGTAATTGTAATAATGAATGTGTTAAGTCTTTATTTGATATTCCTGTTAAAGGATCTAAGGGATCTTCACATAGAGTTTTCTCCATCAATTCGTTGTGTCAGGGAGAATTTTTGGAGGAACAGAGACTTTCTTTGGGTTGGAAATCGTACTCTTTTAATTACTAATTATTTTTGCGACCTAGACAATGTTCTTTGTGTTTATCCTATGGTCATTCAAGAAAGTTTTGTAACTCGAAAGTATGCTGTGCATTATGCACTGGAAATCATTTAGCAGCTTCTTGTGATAGAAAGAGTGAGGGATTCAAATGTATTAACTGTTTTTCTTGTAATAAAAAATTTGGTTTAGATCTTAATGTCTCGCATCATGCAATGGATAAAAACTGTCCAACATATATCAGAGAAGTGAACTTTATTAAGAATCATTTGGATATTGATTATAGTAATTGTATTTGATTTTAAATTGTTTTTAACTTGGATCTATGTGTTTTTGTAAATAGGCTTATTTTATCTTGTGATTTGCGGTTCTGTTTTTGTCTTTGTGTGTCTTATCTGTTGCTTTTAATATTTATAGTTTTATACTGAAATTGTTTATTGAAGTATTTATCTTAATGCATGTGATTAGTATTAATTTGAATCATTGTGCCATCGCTGCTGCCCAGCTCTCTGTTATCCAGGAAGTTGTGGGAGTCTTGCCTGATGTCATCTTGCTGCAGGAGCCATATTTAATTAGGGGTAGAGTGGCCTATGTTAATAAAAATTGGAGAGTCGTTGCTTGTTATGGGGGAAGGACTGCCATTATTGTCGTCAATCAAGATATAGATTTTGTTGTAGATTTCGAGACTGACGTTGTTACCAGTATTTCTGCTGTGCTGGGTGATCAAGAATATGGATTGGTGTCTATTTATTTCTCTCCAGCTGAAGATATTTCTATTAATTTGTATAAATTGGAAAATGTTTTAGATACTCATGATAAATTTTTAGTTTTTGGTGATTTTAATTGTAAGCATTTTAGTTGGGGGGGGCTGGTTATACAGATGCACGTGGGATTTTATTATTTGATTTTATTTCATCTAAGAATTTGGTGCTTTTTAATATTCAAGATTTTACCCCAACTTTTTCATCTTCAGTTGGACAGGGTTGGACCGACCTTGTGTGTTAGGTTCAAGATCATTGGATATTAATGATTATAAGTAGGTTTGTCAAGAAGAATCTCTCAGCGACCACAGATATATTCTCTTTGACATGGAAGGTGTTTGTCTCCAGCATGGGAGTGGAAACTTTATAAGTAGAAGTGTTCCTAAAGTTTACAAATTGTGTAAAAAAGTAAATGTTGTCATTGAGGATTTTATTCAGAAAATAAGAAATAAGAAATGCTGGGTGTTACGAAGAAATTGATTGTATAGTCTCTGAAATTGAGACTTATTTGGTTAAAAAGATTGTTACTAAATTAAGGGTTAAAAGAAAAGTTGGTAATAAAATTATTTGGTGGAACGTTGGTCTTGAAAGACAAAAGAGAAGAGTACGGGCTTTTAGGAAGAGTTTTCAGGTAAAGAATATTGATGATGTTACTAGATTAAGAAGGAAAATTAGATATAAGAAAGAACTAGCTATTTATAAACGTTCTATTAGAGAAGCAAGAAAGAATAGTAAGATTAAATATTTTTTGGATTGTGTGAATCATTTTGATGGTTTCTATAAGACTTGCAGCTGGAAAGAGTAGACATAAAGTTATTGTCAAGAGACCGGAGGGCGTTGCTGGAAATTTTGAAGAAGTGAATAAAGCTCATGCTAAAGTTTATTTTGATTTAGATTATGATTTTTTGTTTGATATTTCGAATATTGATGATTCCAAGTTAAAAGATGATGATTTTTGTTTTACTCGTGATGAAATTGCTGGAGTGATTCGACGTCTTAGAGACAAAGCTGCACCTGGAATTGACGGCATTCATTCTGTGATTGTTAAGACTTTATTTGATTTATATCCTGATTTTTTTAATACTTTGTATAATGCATGTTTAAAATATGCCATATTTCCAGGCACATGGAAGATAAGTAAAATCATATTGATTCCTAAGACCGAAGGAAAATCAAGGCCAATTGCTTTATTAAAGATATTTGGAAAGGTTCTTGATAAATTGATAACTAATAGGAAGATAGGACATTGCTAATTTTTTAAATATTTCCATTCTCAAATATATATCAATATGGTTTTGTTCCTGCCTGAAGTAAAATGTGATGCTCTTTTTCGAGTCTCTCACATAGGAGTTAGGGAACAGCACGTTCCATTCTTGTCTTCTTGTCTCAAATTTCTATCTATTGCATTTGATAACGTGGATTGGGTCTCTTTATTGGGGACTCTTCAAGATTTGTATATACCCAGAAATATTTTTTATTTGATTTTGGATTATTTTAAGAGTAGAAGAGTGTATTTTAATTGCTTTTCGGAAAGTAAATATGGGTCCACTTTTAAAATTGGTAAAGGCTGCCCGCAGGGTTCCTGCAGCGCTCCTCTGTTCTGGAACGTGATTATGAATAAATTGCTTCAATGTGAATTTTCTGGCAATGTGGAACTTGTTGCTTATGCTGATGACGTCGTTGCATTGTTTAGGGGGGACTCACTTGAAAAAACTGGAAAAATTGTTTGATGAGACCTGTGCAATTTTTGATAATTGGAGTAATGGGGAAAAATTGAATTTTAATATGGATAAGACACAAGCTATGTTTTTCCCGAGGGGAGGACGTGTGGTGAGACCTCCTCGAATTCGGTATCATAATAGGAGAATTAGATTTACAGAAAATATGAAATATTTAGGTGTTGTGTTGGACTGTAAGCTCACTTTTGTTGAACACTTTAAGAACGTGCAGCGAAGAACAGATCAGCTTTTACTTGCCTACAGAAGGAACTTTGCGGGCGATATTTTTGCTAAGAGATCTGGTATACTATTGGTTCTATATAAAGCCGTTGTATTACCTATTGTGATGTATGGAATTGGCGCCTGGGGTTCCAGAGCGGGGGAGCTGGTGAGGCTCCGGATGAAGTTGGATTCTATACAGAGAGCTTGGGGTCTTGCAATTACTCGCTGCTTTTAGGACAGTCCCCACGGAGGTGGTTTGTGTATTGGCCAGACTGCCTCCCCTCTCAGTTTATTACGAATTTTATTACAAGAAATATCTTTTACGTTCTGGAAATATTGATATGATTTGTTTTGATTCTAATATTATTACTAAATATGTTTTTGAAAAATTAATAATGTACATTTATTACACCCTGTAAATAGAATCAGTTATGGGTTTGATAGAGAAATTCCAAAAATTGGAATATATGATATTTATACGGATGGTTCGGGGTTAGGAGGGTGTACTGGAGCTGCTTTTGTTGTATATTTCTATGATGTTGAAATTGATTATGGTTTATATAGATTGAATTCTTATAATTCAGTATTTCAAGCGGAATGTATTGCTGTTTTGAAGGCCTTGAAATGGATTAAAATGAATATTAAAACATGTGTTACTATAAATTTGTATACTGATTGTCTTCTTTGCTCCAGTCGCTCTCTTGCCCCGATAATGTTAACTGTATTATTATGGATATTAAATTTCTGTTGCAATCTATCAGTTCTACGATTTTTCTTTTCATTGGATTAAAGCCCATGTGGGGTTTTTTTGGTAATGAGAGGGCTGACAGTCTGGCCAAGGAGGCATGTATTTCAACTAATGCACCCATTGTGGAAATTTCTGGTTCTAGACAAATTGCCATTACGAGTATGAAGAAATATTATATAAATATATGGAAAGATGTGTGGAAAAGTTCAACAAGGAAAAAATAATTTGTTGATTAATATTGAAATTACAGATAAAGTTTTAATCTATGATGACATTGATATGAATCAGATTATCACCGGACATGGTAGGTTTCCTCATTATTTAAAAAGATTTCATGTACAAGATAATGATCTATGTCCAAATTGTAATGTTTTGGGTGATGCCAAACACTTCGTGGTGGACTGCCAATTGACTGATTTTATTAGACGAAGTTTTTGTGATATACATTTTGATTTATTGAATTTTGATTTTAAACATTTGAAATTATATGCAAGAGAATTGATGGCCTTTATTAATGGCAATAGACATGCGATTGGGGTTTTTAACTAAGTGTTTATATTTTTTTCAATGTTTATTTTTTTTTATTATGATGTATTATTTAAAATTGTTTGTTTAAAGTTGTTTGTTAATAGTTGAAATTCTTGATCATTCTTTTTAGGTCTCTGGTATTGGACCAGTGCAAGGACAAATTTTAAATGCTATTGGCATTCACACTTGCTCTGATATGTGGGAGAAACGTGATCTTCTTGATTTACTTTTTTCGGAGACTTCTGTTGATTTTTATATTAGAGTTGCTTTGGGTATTGGGAGCACAGTAGTTAAAAGGTTGGTGCAAAATTATCGAATATGTAAAATGAACTATGTATAAAAATAGCATAACTATGAAATTAATATTTACCTTCAATATAATATAAGCATGCTAAAAATCGCCTTTTTGTGAACCTCTAATTTAAGAATTGCATATGTTTATGAACCATGACTTTGATGAGCAGGGTTCGTAGCGGTCCTTATAAGTGCTTATAAGTCCTTATGTTTGAAAATAAAATATAAAGGCCCTTATAGGTGCTTACTTTTTCTTTAAAGCCCTTATTTTTTTGTTTTTAGTGTTTTTTTTTTTTTTTCTTCTAATGAACGTGCTATTTTTTCCAGTACCAAAGCCGAAACTAAATAAACAACTTTTCTTCCTAGTATGGAATGTCAGATGGTGAATCATACTCCCAGAAATAGCTTTTCCCCTTTCTCTGCATTAACGTAACCTTTGGTGTGTACGAAGAGTATAGACAGGAGCCAGTCGTTCTATTGGTCAAAGAAATGCGAAAGCAGTAGAAAATTCCGGTACATTCGGCATTCTTTTCCTCCCACCCAAATACTACACACGTTTGAATTTCTATCAAGATACATTCTCGTTCCGCTTGGTCAGTTCATATTCGTGTTTATTATGATCGTCATGCTTATATTGAGCATATGTATGAATGTTTATAATAATATAGTTGCAGTAACTGCTGAAGTATAGTAAACTTTCAAAAATGGTTGTGTTTTAACACAGATTAGCTTTCTAAAGAATAATATTTGGAATGGCTTAAATAAAGGGGAAGTAATCGAATAGTCAAAGTAATTTTATTTTTTTGGCCAATAGATTATACAGTACGAAGATTGGGAGGTTCCCCTCTTTCTCTGCAAAATCTCGAATATTGAAACTGTTACAGTTTGCTGCAAAACAAGCAGCAACGGACCTTTTTTTTTTTTTTTCGGGGGGGGGGGGGGGGGGGTTCACTTTCCAATCTGGATTGAATAGGACTAAAAGTTCTGCAGTCTACCAACCCATGAGAAGAATGATTCTATTCTGGAAGTTTAATGCTGTCTGTTGAAAATTAGAATGAAAAACACCCCAGTTATTTAGTTCTTTATTCTCCCAATGCTGGCAGCTGTTGGTTCCGATTGCGTAATATCACGTAAGGAAGAATTACGGCACAGCTTATTCTCTCTTAATAAAATATACTGCATTTCTCATATTGTAAATTACAAGTCTAATTTTTAAGGTTATGCAGTTGTGTATAATGTAATTAGACTGGTGCTTATTTTTTTTCTTAAAATGTGCTTGAAAAGTGCTTATAGGTGCTTATTTTTTTACTAAAATGTGGCTATGAACCCTGATGAGGTTATCAACTTTTTACTGGGATTTCAGTTTATTAATTTTAAATTTTATGAACTTTTAACTGCTCCTCTTATCATATGAGTTCATAAGATTGAGAGTCCAGTATTAAAGAAAAGTGGTCAAAAATTACATTTAGATAAGAAAAGTCTATTTATCATTGTTTTCAGAAAACTCATAGCAAACTGTCATGGTAGAAAAGGAAATTCCGTTGAGCAGCTCTGATTTAAACACTAAAACTTTTGTTTTTAGTTATGTGTTTCTCAGTTTGAAATTTCAGTTTCACAAGATATCTCTGTGTTTCTTGTAGTTTTTTATTATATTGAATTAAAATATTTTTCTTACATTTAATAAGATCATTAAATTATTTTAAATTATTATTAATTATAATGATTTGCATTCATTTCTGAAAAAGGAACATGGAATAATTTAGCATGGTTTGCAATTCTAGCAAAATTTTTTGGAGGGATTGGACTTTTAAGTAATTAAACAGGGGAGATAAAAAGAGTCTTGAATTATCATTTCTGTAAACTAGGATTTTCATATAAGTTAGATGTATAAAATTTGACACATGATGTTAAAAAAAATTTCATTAAATTTGTCTAACAAGGTTATTCAATCTTGTTACTACAATTAAAATTGCAAAGCTTTATATTCTACATTTTAACTTAATAGAGTTATGCAAATTTTACACTTGACAGATATACTTTTTCTGTCCTTTGACATTATTACTTTGCTGTTGGCATGTTAGTACTCTGTGTCTAAGCAGATAATTTTGTTTTCATCATAATGATTAATAGCTGGATATTCTATATTTTACATTTATTTGGAAAGCAAAGAAAACAAGGCAAATGAGATGTACTTCATAATCTTAAAATACTATACCCAGTATGCTGAAAGCAACATAAAAGCATTACATATTTTTTCAATGTTTTCCCCGGACAAAATAAAAATCACAACATCACTTGATTATTCTTGGCATTAGTAGCAGTGTTTATGAATACAAGGAAATAGGTTTAAAACCTATAACACCAGGCAGCTGATTTTCTATGTAGAGCAAGCCCAAATCTAAGCAACTTACTTATAAATGCAATGGCAACTTTAGAATTAATTACTTTTAACAGTAGACTGCTTTAGAAGTTAGGGACTCAGCATGACAAAGACTAGCAGAAAATTGTGATAAAGTCTTAATTTTTAACATCTGTTATTCTGCTTCTGTATTTTATATTCTGTTAAATAAAATGTTATCTGCAACATTTTATATTTCCCTTTCCAGGAAGCTCCCATTATTTTTAACTGCAAACAATTTCATATAGGTAAAATGTATGAATGCAGTAAAAACTTTAGCCCACTCTAATCATTTTCAAATTTTGAATTACATCAAGTTGAATCCCTTGTTAGCATATTTTGGGGTATGCATTTATTGAGATGTCAAATTACAGATATTAGTATTAAATAATTATGAATTCTAAAATGTTTTTCATCCTTTACTTTATCTTTTAAAATTTCAAAACAGTGATTCTTCCCTTTCTGTTCTTTCCAATTCAGTTAAAATTTAAAAAATAAATAAATAAATAAAAATAAAAAATAAATAAATTTTAAAGAGAAACGAAAAAAGCAGTTTGAAATATATAGAGTATTTTTTGTCAAAATATATATGTTTTATCACATATTTAAAAAAGAAATGGCTGTTAGGATACATTGAATGATATTTCTTGCAACTTTCTGTTCCTTTTCTTTCTCATCATTGGTTATATTTTTTAATTGATTTCTTTGAAGTGCACACCCTCATATAAATCATGTTAACATAAAAAGGATGTTGTAAAGAAAGAAAGCAAACAAAGACATAATTTAAGCAGTGATGAAATGAGTAATGTGATGTAATATAAATATATTTTTTATGAAGAAATATATCTGTAGTGTATACAAATGCTGATATAAATGTGATTGTAAAATCTGTGTACTTGATAGACCAATCAGAAATACATCGTACATTTAATATTTTAATTTTAAACTCAAAAATATATAATATTTTGCATAAAATCTTTAATTTGTGAATTGAAATTTAAGTGGATAAGCTGTATATGTAATATTTATTTTTTTGTGAAATTAAAGTAACTTATTCAATTCTCTTTCTACCCTGCAGTGATCACGTTCAGAAAAGTATTGGAAATGAGCACACATTTCGAGAAATCCATCATCCTGCTGATCTCCACAGAAAATGTCAAGAACTCTGTGATGAACTGATAGAGGATCTAAAATCACATAATATGCTTGTAAATTCAGCAATTTTATTTATTTATTTGTTTATTACTTTTTGCTAAAAGTCTTTGGAAATATATAGAATACGTAGAAAAAAATCAAAATTTTGCAAAATTATGCTTTTCTGTTTTAATTTTTTTTTTTAATAGTAAAGTGTTTTTAAATCATCTGGAAATACTGCACATATACTGGAAGTATACTGAGGTGCTTTTGAATTTCAGCTTTCACAGATATATCTATTTAACTGATAGGAATTTTATTTATTGCATATATGTGGCTGTCTTTTAGACTTTTTGAATAGGATCTCCTACTTTGTGGAAACATACATTTTCTAATTCTTTGGAACCGCATAATTCTGAGGCCATCTGTATATGACCGGGGATCTAATTTCCTCATGAGCGCAGTGTTCTTCTGGTACGGCATTCTCTTTCACTCTGCACTCTGTCCACAGCTATATTACTTTTGGATTAGTAGGCATGACAAGGCCTATCTCCTCACACATTTTTAATAAACCATCCTTCCACATTTTGGCAAATATATTTAATTAACTAGATCGACACAACAATTAATCATAAAAATAAATTTTTTCACATGCCTTTATATCTTCCGTCACACTAATCCGGGCTGAGCCACCCAAATTTCTTCTTATATAAGAATTCCAGCTTTCTGGACGCACATAATGATTACTTCTTATTTACAATAGGGTGGTTAAGATATATAGAACATATGTGGAAGACATGTTCGTGAAAACCATTGCCTCCATACACAAAGTCAATAAAATATTTCACCTTGTCATGGCATTTAAACTATCACTGCTTGTTTGAATTACTGTTGAAACCACATAATTCTGAGGCCTTCTCTGAATCGCCAAGGATTTAGCTTCCTTATGAGCATAGTGTCTTTCTGGTACTGTATTCTGTCTCACTCACTCAGCACACTGTCACAGCAGCATCTAAACCAATGACTCCAACGTCATCTTTTGCCAAGGATGGGACACATTCCCCCACACACATATCTGGTTGTAATGACAGTTTTCGGCAAAAAGTGTTTATAATAAAGTTAGGGGGGACCTGAAAGTAGTACCTTTTGTGCGGGTAGTAATCACCACCCAAATCTATAATTTTCTGCCAATGTTTTGGTAGTTTTTCTAAGTCTTTAGCCCAGAAACTTGGTGGCTGTGAGTCCAAAAACAGATCAACCTAATTTTGGATGTCCTGTGGAGTATGAAATATAGCACCTGCAAAATGTAGCTGCAGGTGTGAAAAAAGGTAGAAGTCCAAAGAAGCAATGTTGGGGCTATACGGTGGGTGTGGAAAAAGATACATTCGACTTTGTACAGAGTCTAGCCGGTGATACAGACATATGTTACCTTGCATTATCTTAATGGAAATTGCCTTTTTGCGCCAAAATCAAGTTCGACATTTTTCTTTGATAACAATGTCGACACAGAGCATCTCTCTGTACACGTTACTATCAAGGGTTTTACCTTTTTCGAGATACACTTTGTGAATAATAATGCAGCAATCTAACCAGATACAAAAGTCTGATGTTTTTGTGTTGCCATGTCATCATGTTAGTCAAACTGTGGTTTGCAGCACTGGCGATAGGCTCTCACCGGGTGCAGACCAACCCTCTTTTCAGCTTGTGTTATTTAAGTAAATCCACCTTTCCTCACAAGTGACAATCCATTCCAGAATTTTGTCCTTGCATTGATATTCGAGCAGATTAGTGCAAGCCCGAACACATCTGTCCTTATCTGCTTGAGTCAGCTCATGCAGGACTCAGCAACTGAACTTGTACGTCAAGTTTATGTGGTGCATAGTGCAACTAATCGACATAGCACCAATGCCTAACTCTTTAGCAAGCTCTTGAGTGGTTGCATACTGATCTTCCACAAGTTCTTGCTAGCGAGCCTCATTAACATCAGTAGGCCGGCCAAAGCACTCTTCTTCCTGCTTCCTGAATGGTATAGTCCTTGTGTTTGAATTTTCATTACCAAACCTTCACAGTGTCCTATGATACAACATATTGCTTTAAGCTGTAGACATGATTTGGTGACATTCTGTAGTTGATTTTTTGCAACAGAACAGGAAGTAAATGATGGTTCTAATCTGATAGTGTAATATTTCCATTTTAGAAACCTAGTAGTTCATGATAACGATATTTTTTTTACAAATTTCACAACATAGTGTTCTGAAGCGGGTCTCTTTCTTTCAAATACCAAAAATTGTTTGGCAAAATATGATTAAACATGGCAACACGAACTGTTTGTGCAGACGTTTGTTTTGTGGTGGTGGGGAAACTTTCGTTAAATCTTATATATATATATATATATATATATGTGTGTGTGTGTGTGTGTGTGTGTGTGTGTGTGATGATGTAGAAACATTGATAGCATAGATATGTAGAATGTTAATCCATAATGAAGAGTAAACTTGGCAGCTGAGGCTGTTCGGTAAACATTTGTGGCCACAAACAAATTGGCCCACTACTTGTGCCTTTTCAAGAACATTTACATTTTGAATAGCTGTATGGAATAAAAGAGATACAGCAAGCAGCAGTCTATCTAGGCTGAAGTACAGAAAGAAAGTCTCTTGCATTCAGGATAAAATCTTAATTCAGAATGAGTTAGTTTCAGTGTTCAATGCATTTGATTATATAATTCATAATGCTGGAAAATAAATTATTATTGGTTGTTTAAGTTTTAGTTCCATCTACGTCACCAGTGTTATGTAAAAGTAGTATGACATGGATTACTCTTGAAATGATGCAGTGCAGGAAAAGATATTACTATTTTTTCCATGGAGAAGGAAAGTACCTAAATTAAAATTAATATAGCTAATTTAAATTGTACTAATGCATTTTTGGCTTAGCTTACAAAATGTACAACTCTTTCACTTTATGAGATCCTTCTGAAAATATATGAAGTTGTTAGCACTTTTTTTAGCTGAGTATTTTGGATAAAAAAATATCATCGATATTCTAATATTATTTACCATTAATTTGGTGACACTATGCTGGGATAATAATGCTAAGGGGGAAAACAAATAAATTAAATGCCAAAGGAAAGAGAAATTGGCTTAAAATGAGTGAAATATGTGACATAATTTCAAACATCAAACAAAATCTTGAACTATAAATGTGAAAATGAAAGCCAGAGAAACTTATGCTTATGGGTGAACACAAAAGAAATTTCAGAAAATTTCTGGCCGGATGTGATGAAAATATATTTTTGGGTTATCTTTTTAAAGAAAATTAAATAACAAGCCTTTAAAAATGAAGTTTAGAGGCTAATGGTAGGTAAGATTAGAAATAGGATGATTTACTGAAACGAAAATTAAATTCTCTTTGCTAACTGAAAATGTTATTTAATAAATTTTTGTTGCAGAGAAGGGGAAAGTATGGTTTCCCAACTGACAGGACTATAATTCCCTTCAATTCCAAAAATGCTGCATATTCTTTGGTATAATATTTCAGAACTCATCTTGTTTGGCCATACTAGCAAGAAACCATATTGTAGCATACTGGCAAGAAATATATGTTTGGAATTTATATTTTGTATAGGATCTTTAAAGAAAAATTATGAATTATTTAGAAAGTGAAAAATTACATGAAAATTAAATTTAGGTAAAAAACATGATTTTGTAAGTAATCAAAGGATAAAATAGCAAACTGCTAAATTTTTATGATGTGGCAAGAATGAAAAAAGTATTAAGTTGAAAATAATAATTTTTCAGTTTAGCTGTTTTGTATTGATGATATATTTGCTCTACTTAATGGCAATAAAGCACATTTAACTAAAATCCAATAAGTCCTGAATTCAATAAATTCTATTCTTCTGTCAGTAATTCCCACCAGTTCATCAGCATTCAACAATATCTGTGTAAAGAATCTGTGTAATTTCAGTGTTACTGTGTATTATAAACCTTTCACAGTTTGCTTCCAACCTCATTCCAAATCCTGTCATCCAACTCAGCAAAAGTTTTAATCCTTTACTTCACTTGCTTCATAAAGTTTGCTTATCCAGTCAGTTTTTGATCAAAAATATAATTATTAATACAGTCAAAAGTTTTTAATCCGGACTCATCGGGACTTCGGCGATTCCGGATTATCGGTTTTTCTGAATTATAGATCATCAATTTAAATCTGGTAAGATGGCATGCTGAAATTATAAAATTAAAAATATGAAACTGTAATTTATGAAATAAAGAGCAATTATGATCTAAAGAGTATCAAAATTTACAAAAAAAAAAAAAAAAAAAAAAAAAAACCACTTAATTTTTATTTGTTTACTTTATTAAACATTTCTTTCAACGCGCGCATAGTGGAAATTAGAAAATTGCAACCAGAAAACTATTTGATGTGTATTCGTGATATTTATAATAATGAGGAATTTGATTTAAATTATATCAAAGACGGAGTACATCGAGATGAAATACAGTCAAAAGTCGTTAATCCGGACTCGTCGGGACTTCGGCGATTCCGGATTATCGATTTTTCCGGATTATAGATCATCAGTTTAAATCTCGTAAGATGGCATGCAGAAATTCTAAAATTAAAAATATGAAACCGTAATTTATGAAATAAAGAACATTTATGATCTAAAGCGTATCAAAATTTACCAAAAAAAAAAAAAAGCTTAATATTTATTTGTTTACTTTATTAAATATTTCTCTCAATGTAAGTTGTTTAAGTTGCTTCATTTTATGTGATAATACTTTCTCTTTAATTCTATAAAAAGACATAATTTCTTGTTCAGTTACAAAGTTCCGCTGTTCAAGTCTCGTTAATTGCTGTGCCGAGAATACCGACTAACTTGTCAATCGAATTTTTTTCGTTTTCACTAACCTCTCTGTCACATTTTTATGTCTTTATCCATTTTTTGCAGTAATTCCACTTTTTGTTTGTTGGACATCGAAACAAACTTTCGTTTTGTAGATCCTTTGGAAGTTCCAGCATCGGAAATTCTATTTGACATAATCGAAAGTTCAAGTTTACTTTTATAAAATTGCTCTTACAGTCTGCAAAAAATAATAAGCGGGATCCAATTCGAAGATTAAGGAACAACGCAATCATTAACATTAACTGAAATAGATAATTAGATAATTTTAGCTTACACACTGTCCGTTATACATTAAACGCGCAGGCGAAAACGTATTCTGCACGTGTGCACATGCATATGCGCAGTAGTCAATGTCTTACGCGTACACGTAAAACGCCTGTGCACATGTGCCAACGCGGCGCATGCGCAGAAAGTTTTTAGCTTTGAGGTCCGGATTATGGGTGTCCGAATTAACGACTTTTGACTGTACTACATTTAGTAAGGAATTATAAGCCGAATAAAATAAAAACATCTGCCCTGAAGATAAGGATAGTGCTGACAGATCAACTTCCAGTTCATTGCGCGCAGCGATGCCCCTCCCCCGGCAGAAATTGATAAACTGATTTCGGAATGGTTAGAAAAACGAAGGATACGCCTTTATCCATTTTTTGCATTCCACTTTTTGTTTGATGGACATCGAAACATGCTTTCACTTTGTAGATAGATCCTTTGGCAGCTCTAGAATTGGAAATTCTATTTGACATAATCGAAAATTCAAGCTTACTTTTATAAAATTGCTCTAACAGTCTGCAAAAAATAATAAGCCGGATTCAATTCGAAGATTAAGGAACGACGCAATCTGTAACATTAACTGAAATAGATACTAAGATAATTTTAGCTTAGTTTATACCATCCGTTATACATTAAACGTGCATGCGTAAATGTATTATACGCATGTGCATGCGTAAATGCATTATGCGTTGATGCATGCACAGAAAGTTTGTAGCTTTGAGGTCTGGATTATAGATCATTCCGGATTAACGACTTTTGACTGTATTATTACTGACAATGTGTATAAAAAATTTTCATTTCATGGCAAGAAAAACACTTTTCCTTTATTATAATAATTAAATAGTTATTCAATTCTTTTTTTTACTGAGTTATAAAACTGTGTATGTTTTACAGAGGTTTAACCATTTTGTCATTTTTTGTCTTCTATCAAAATTATTTTGTTGGCCTTAAAGACCTGGTTTCAGGTATGAAATCTTAGGCTATCTGCAGTCTGCCAGTATAACTTAATATGTATTGATCAAACAAGGTGAAACAAGATAATTTTATTCCTAATCTCACCTAGAGTGTCCAGTAAGAATACATTCTTTCTCTCATAAAATGTATGTGATTGCAAAGCAAAGGTGCAGTAGACTTTAATAAATTATCCTATAAATTCTTTAAATTTACCATTAAATGAAGAATATCCTAAATTATGCCAAAGATCTAAAGAATACAAAATCCTCCATTCATAATGAGCATTACTTCATTGTTAGCAATACTTAATCATAAAATGAAAATTTAAAAGAAAAAAAAAATCAAACTATTTTTAACTTTCTGAGTGATATAGCTTCTTTGAATTTGCTCATGAAGACTGGTATTTAAAGAGCATTTAATAACTTAAGTTGTATAATTACTTATTTTAGTGTCTGTTTTAAGATGGTTAATATTATTAACATTCATAACATGGTATTTAGATCATCAAAGAAAGTAAGAAAGCAAAACAATCTCATGGCTGAATAAAGGCTGTCATGCTGTCAGTTAAATTCTGTTTTTAATTTAATGAATGAATCAAATTTAACATAAAATATTATCATCATCTATGTACTTAGCTCTCTGAAGAACTTCTTTATCAAATCCCCTAAGTTAAACTTTTATTAATCAAATATTTCATAGAGAAAAATATTATCTCTCTTATCAAGATGTATTTTGTTTCCTTATGCATCTCTAAAGTGGGATAAAGAAACAGAGGTTTTCAAGAAATATTGTTATAAATAATATGCCAAGAAGATGCATGCATATATATTTGCAATCAAGACTCAAAATAATTGGCTAAGTGTTAATGCCAAAATAAGATGGTTATTGTTCTTTGTTTTTTAATCTGCTAGTGCTTATATTTGCCTTGTGTTATTCTTTAATTAACATACATAAGTTTTGATTCATTCAGTTTTCTTTGAAGCTTAAGGTAATCTCCTTTAAATGAGTTAGATGTGGAATGTGCATAATGCAAAATTATATATGAGATGTTATTTTGTAAGTATGGAAAATGATTGGAATCGTGGAAAATTTCTTTGAATTTATGCATAATAAAAAATTCTTCTGGGGTTTTGTAATGCTAGTTATTCAAAAATAAAAGTACACTAGAGGGAAAATTGTTCAGTTTTCACATTTAGTGTCTTATTATTCTTGCAAACAATTAACCACTAATATTTAATTCATTGCAATATTGTTTGTGTAATAATTACAAGTGAATGCAATTTTTAATAGGGTAAAGTTGTTATTCTAAAATTCAAAACTGCAGATTTTCAAACACATACCAGGAATCATTCTCTGTCTCACTATACATCTGATGCTGAGATTGTGTACAAAGCTGCAAAGAAGTTAATTGATGCAGAGATAACAGCTGTTGCCCCCAGACTTTTAAAGCTTAGACTAATGGGTTTGTATAACTTTTTGTATATCTAATTACAATATTGCATATAATCAAATTTTAACATCATCTTTTATAACTTTTCTTTAAAATCAATTTATCATATGTTTTAGAAATTTAGCTGCTCAGACTCATTCAGCTGCTTATTGAAAATATTGCTTAAATATATATATAAGAAAGTGCTATTCCATATGTTTCAGACTGCTGTCTATGAAATATTTGCCTTGTGCAACATCAAGTACTTTATTAAACTAATTCTGCATTTTAGATATGTGGTTGCTTCACAAAGGCAAGAAATAATCAAACTTTTAATATAATTTTTTATAACTACTATTTTTTTCTTTTCTTCACATATTTTACAAATTTAGCTACTCAGGGTACCCTATCCATCAAAGATATTGTTTAAAATCTGCACACAAAAAAAATATTCCTTATATTTGAGAATGCTAGTTTTGAAATATTAGCCTCATGCAATATTTAATATTTTATGCAACTACAGTGCCTGCCACTTATTAAACTGGCTGGTTAATAAACTCATCTGCTTATTGTGTTCAAATTTCTGGGGACCAAAACGAATATATACTAATTAGTAGAAAAGCTGCCAATTATAAAACTCAAACTGGCAAAAGTCTGATTATCCAGATCTAGAATAGGCTGTTTGTAGTCCATTCATTTTTCTTTCTCTTCAATAAAATGGGTTTAGCAGAAATTTTGGCCAGTTTATTTAGAATCAAGACCCTATCTCTTTTTCTGGACTAGAGCTGACAACAATAGAATACCTTTCTGTTATGATTAACAAAACTAGTCCTCTAGAGACATTGAAAACAATTTCTTTAATTATAAATGAATGAGTGTTTCCCAGTACAGTACAAAGTCCGTAATCTAGACATCCATTATCCGGAATGATCTGTAATCCGGACCTCAAAGCCACAAACTTACGCATGCGCGTTTAATGCGTGTGTCCGCTATGCATGCGCGTGAAGCGTTTAACCATGCGCGCTTCCAATAGAAAATGACAGAGAGGTGATTGAAAACGAAAAAATTTCGATTGACAAGTTAGTCGGTATTCTCGACACAGTAATTACAGGACTTGAACAGTGGAACTTTGTAACTGAACAAGAAATTATGTCTGTCTATAGAATTAAAGAGAAAGTATTATCACATAAAATGAAGCAACTTAAACAACTTACATTGGAAGAAATGTTTAATAAAGTAAACAAATAAATATTAAGCTTTTTTTGGTAAATTTTGATACCCTTTAGATCATAATTGCTCTTTATTTCATAAATTACGGTTTGATATTTTTAATTGTATAATTTCTACATGCCATCTTACAGATTTAAATTGATGATCTATGATCCGGAAAAACCCCTAATCCAGAATCCCCAAAGTCCCAACAAGTCTGGATTATGGACTTTGTACTGTATTAAAAAATAGGCGCTGCTTAAGTGAACACTGGTTCTCTTTCTCAAACACCAGTGATGGGGATGGATGTGCATGCACACATTAAGTTTTCAGTGTGTTCTTAGAAAACATCATGAAACATTTCCTTGCATTATCTTACATTATCAGTCTTTGATTGGAAAAAAGAGAGTGATCACTGTAGGCTGAAGAAAAAAGAAAAGAAAGCATTGATTACACCTATAATAACCATGAAGTCACTTGTTTGACTTGACAGATAAAGGTACTATCTTCCTGCTGGCAAGAAACAGGAATTTTGGATTTTAATAAATCACTGGAAGAAATTTTTTCATTTGCTGTATGCATGATTTGTAACATATGGAAACGCCTAAATGAAATTATTTGAGCATAAAAGAAAGGGATAAATTTGCTGAAGGATTATGGTACGTTTGGCAAATGCAGCCAAAGAGAAAATGTATAAAAGAAAAGGATAAATTTGCTGATTGATTATGATATGTTTGGCAAATGCAGCCAAAGAGAAGCATTTTTTTAAATGGAGATTTCCCAAACAGCACTGTGCAGTTTTCTTAAACAAAGAGGTAAAATTGATAAAGAACTAGTAAAAGAATGCAGATGTCTGTAAGAAACACAAAAGGATAGAAAATTCAGAAACATTTAAACTCTTCTAGGATGGTTTCAAGCTATGACACTAAAAAATGTTCTAATTTCTGGAGCTCTTCTGATCATAAAAGCTGTAAAATTCACTAAAATACTATGAGAAATTTTTGTTCCAAGTGATGGATGGCTCACAATAGAAAGCAAGAAATAACATTATGTATTGGAAACTTCATGGTGAGAAGCAAAGAGCAGATTATTATTCAGCTGAAAAATGGGTAAAAGATATTTTACCTGGTCTTCTAAAAGATTAAAAGCCACATGAAATTTATAACACAAATGAAACTGGTTTGTTTTACAGAGCATTACTGGAGTGCATGTTAATGTTTAAATGAGAAACAGCAGCTGATTTTAAGAAATTAAAAGAACGGGTTGTGTTATTAATGTGCTCTATGGATGCAACAATTAAAAAGATAAAAGTGTTACTGGAAAGAATAGAAAACCCCGATGTTTAAAAGAAGTCAAGAATTTACTTTTAACCTGCCATAGTAACAAGCACTCATCGATGGCATGCAGAATTTTTTTCTAATATCTTTTTGAATTGGAACAGAAAGCTGAAAAATGGAAAAAAATAGCTTTACTGTTAGATAACTGTGCTGCACACCTCTCTGATATTGTTCTGAAAAATATGAAATTAGTGTTTCTTCCTGCAGATATGACATCTATCATTCAGCCATTAGACTAAGGTATTTCAAATGCAATTACAGAAACAGTGTAGTTAAAAAAACGATGAGTGAAAATGAATCTTATGCAAATGCAAGTACGTTGAAAGAGATAAGTAAATCAATATCTTTGGTAGAGGCTATGCATATTATAGTCAACACATGGTAAGCAAACTCCCAAAACACAGTTAGAAATCACCTTAAAAATATGGTATTTATTTAGAAGAAGCCACAAAGAAATTCTAAAATATTTCTAATATTTCAAACATCAGTGAGCGAAGTTACAAAGATTTGTTTTTAGAGAGTACATTTCAATTAATGTTAATATTTAGACAGCATGTGAAAACACTGACTATGATATTACAAAAAATGTTAAAAAGAGTTACTGAAACTGATAGTGAAAAGGATGCTGGAGAAAGTGACTACTTGCCAGTCTGCTGAATCAAGGAAATCGCTACAAGCTCTAAGACAACTTCTTGAATTGAAAGATGGAGATTAAAAAAGCTACCAACAGTTTTACGAACTTGAAAACACAATTGAAAGACTATTGACAAACAGTATGAAACAAATATGGATAGAGCAGTTGTTTGTAAATAGTTTAATTTAAGCATTAATTTTTAATTAATAATTTAACTATTAATTATAATTTAACTATAATTTTTTTCTTTTTACTTTAAATGTGCTATTTAATGATTAAATCAACATATTAGAGCTATTTGAGTAAAATATCAGCTTGAAAATTAAGTATATAGCTGTCAGTATGCTTGAATTACAAAGTGCAACCAAAAGAAGTTTCTTGCAGGTGCCTACAATTTTTAGATTTCAGATAGAGAAAGCAACTACGAATTTTAGTTTTTTCCTTTGCATTATTATTTATGCATGTCTTTTGCAAATAATTGGGAATCTAAAGAAAACAAAAAAGAAAATTTATTGGAAAGAAAGTCTCATAATTTTATCCAGGGAGAAAAAGAGAAATTTATAAGTTAATTAACCATAATCTACTGAAAAAGTAGATTATGGTTAGATTAATACTGTAGAAAATCCAATTGAATATTATTGAAATAAACCTTGTTTGAGGAATATTAAATTTTAAAAGTGAGATTTCAAACATGTTATAAAACTTGCACACATGCGTCAGATGTAACAATGGTTTATAAAGGTATCCCTACATCAAGAATAATTATGATGCAATATATATCAGGGTTCGTACGGTCCTTAAGAGTCCTTAGATTTTTTGGAATCAATTTTTGGTCTTTAAAAGTCCTTAATTTTGATCAAAATCAACAGAAGGTCCTTAATTTTAATCATCTAAAATTTCTGTCTGTTTTTATGACTGTCATTTTGAGTGTGAATTAGCATTTTGAAGAATATTTTTGGCGATTCACTGCCATATATATGGTAATCTTTTGAATAGGTTCATGAGTTGTAATTTGTTTCTATTTCTAATATAAATGATGGGATACTCGAGTTTCTAAGCAAGAAGTGAAACATAAGCATTTCGAAATTCATTTTTTCTAGTAAAGAGCTCTTAAACAACTTTTTGCTTTTGGGGATGTGAATTCTTTTATTAAACGGTTCTAAATTTGGCGACTTTTCAACATTTTGGCGATTTTAAGATTAGTTTCTATAGAAACTTTTTAATTCCAAAATCTGAGAATTTTTCAACGATTTTTTTTAAAACATCGTAACAGTGATAAATTTTATTAAAATAATGGTAGTATATTGAAAATATATTTAAAAAATAACATTAAAATAAAACATTTTTATTTTTCGCTGTCATATTATAAAGTTTCATTTTGGCAACTTATACAATATTTTAAATCTGAAAAATAAACAAGGTATAATGCTATAAAGCACAATTTGTGAAACAGCTCTTAGCAAAAGCAAAATTAGCTGTGTAATTAATTAAAAATGTCTTGTTTTTAATTTTTTCATTGTAAAAGTTTTTCCCATGTAATTGTCTCAGAATATTCAAAATTCTCAGAATGTGCATCAGTTTTCTCTATAAAATTAATTTTATACTTTTTCCCTCCTACTTTTTTCCAAAATATTTCTGGCTTTTTTTCTGTTACAGAAATGGTAGGGATAATTTTTCTTTAGGATTTTAGACATTGCAGCTTGGAAAGTTTAGAATGATTTGAAGGCAAGATTTATAGACCTAGATTCTAGAAGATTCGAGAAATATGTGACAAAATGAAAATTTTCTCCATGGTATCAACACGTAGTGGATGTATTTTACAGAAAGTTTGCAATGAATTTCTTAATTTTGGGAGAACATCTGGAAGAACAATGTATTTTACAGAAAGTTTGCAATGAATTTCTTAATTTTGGGAGAAAATCTGGAAGAACAATGAAAACATAATATTTGAATGTATTACTTCTGATACTAGAATCTTAACATGTTTATCTTCTCTTTATTTTCTCTACTTTTCATTAGACAGAAACATGGAAAATATCAAAAATGCTTCTGATCTTATCACATGGGCAGGCATTATAGAAAGGGATTTTTTTATTAATAAAGAAATTGAAAACTTACAGTTTAAAAGATTCATCTAATATTTCTTAATGCATCATACACATAGCTGGCAATAGGCATTTTCCCACCTGATGCAATCTCTGTGGATCCTAAATTCTGCTGCCTACTGCCTTTCTAAATTCTGCTTCCAATGCTTGCTTTAAATTCTAAAAGTTTTGCCATTTCTAGATTTTGTTGTTCGGTGCGTTACTAAATTCTAGAAATTCTGCCACATCAGCTCTCTAACCATCCTTTACTATATATATTTTGCTTCTGAATGTTCATATTACTAAAGAAATAAAATTAGCTGCTTTTTCTGTACATTATATTTAGTGTTTTTTAGAATAACGGAAATCCTTAATTAAATCCAAAAATTATAAAATGAAAAGGAAACGTGTTGAAGAAAGAAACTGAGTACATAAAGGAAATTATTCTTCAAAGATATGTGCAGTTATTATTATGTAAATTACCCAATTGTTTGATTTCAACCTTCACTGTAATTTCCCATTTCTATTTCCTCATATGATAGAGTTATTGAGCCAGATTAAATTACAATTAAATTGTATAATCTTTGACCACTAGTTCACATTATTAGTTTGACTTTGATTGTTCTTGTTTAATTACGTCACCGTGAGCTGTAATTGATTTTGTTAGCATCAGAACATGCCTTTATGTTTAATGGATTTTAAATAAGAGGCTCATTTAAACCTTTGTCTAATATTGTAGTTAATTTCAGACATAGTGATAATATGCTTCACGTCTGTTGGGGGTTTGGGACTATTTAACTTTTACCAGATCAATTAAACCCTCATAGGTACATTATGGAGAGATTGATAAGTTAAGAGATGAAGCACGCAGGAACTAGTGAGAGCATTGGTTTGCATATTGAGACAAATCTGTAATTGTTAGAAAAGATGCTTAAAAGAGAAGTAAATCGATATAAACGTTCAAATATGACCAACTATCATAAATGTAAAATATTTAATGCTACTTGATAAATTTGCATAGTTTATTTTATTCTCAAACTTATTAACAATTATGTTAATTAATTCATGTTTAGTAATAATGCGTACTACTTAGGGATCTATTTTATTTTTAGGATGCTATTGCATAAAGTGAAATTCAGGCATAGATAATATCTTCAATTGAATTTATTCAGTTCCCATTTGCTCATAGGTCCTTAATTTTTTTCATTAATGATCCTTAAAAGTACTTAATTTCCGTGTGCAGAAATGTGTTCGAACCCTGTTTATATATTCATTGTCATTTTATTAAAAAAAAATTCTGACCAGTTGGCTTCATAAAGCTAGATTTTTAAAATTCGGATAAATAAGATTCTATTGTAATTAAGATTTTTTCCCTTTTAAATTGTGTCATGTTACAGTATCTATGAGCTTTTGTTGCTTAAAGCTGGGTGTAACGGATATTTAACTTCAGTCCAAGCATGTGCAAAAACTCGTTAAATAATTCCAGGTGCCTGGTTTATTCATGTTTTGATCCCTCCAGTCTTTTTCACTTGCAATGCATACACTTTGTTTTTGAGATATTCCCCACAAGGAAAAATCGAGCTGTCTATTATTGGGAAAATAAGAATGAGCCATCTTGCCCATTCCTTTTATCCAAATAATAGAGAATAGAAAATGGGCCTTCTTGCCAGATGTTTATGTCAGGAAACTCCTTGTTCAAACAATGTTACACAACTGTACTTCAATCAAAGGGTTGCCAAATGATAGGTGCAAATGGGGGGAAAAGTCCAACAATAAAGAAATTTTTAAATTACCTTAGCAGGCTTTCTAAATGTTGTGTTTCTGCTGTTTATATATTTTCAGTCTTTTCCTGTAAAATATTTCCCACCAACGGCCAATTGATAAAGTCGCTGAACATTGATAGTTAAACCTGGTGAACGGGCTAGCTCTGTTGTTGGTTTTCATGGTTTTCTCCATGTGTAATGTGAATATGACAGTTCCCTTAAAATTCCTCCATGAAAGCATTGCTCTCCCTAGGCAGATAGCTCTTGAGTTGCTTTGCCTAATAAACTAATCTAACCTAACCTTAACATATCAGGATCTTATGGACTGATCATTATTTTGTTAGAAGCAATGATATAATTTTTTATTTTTGTAGAGACTGTTATTTTTACTTATTTTAAGTATTCAGTGTGTGAATGAAAATGAAAAGAATTCTTTAGATCAATTCTGAAAAAAAAATTTTAATTATGTGGATTAGTTAAAAAATATGTTTAGATGTTGTATTCCCATAGTTAAAATTTTACAGTTGTTTCCCCCCCCCCCCCAAAAAAAATAGCTTTTCAAAACAAGAAAATAGTATTTTTCTTTGGAAAGGACTTCTTCATTGTAGCTTTCTGTTATAATTATAAAAACACAGTGGATATATTTCATTTAGATTTAACTAAAATTGTTGTAGTTCTTTGCTTATTTTGAGATATTAATTAATTTTAAGATCTGTAGTATTACCAAATGATCAATTAATTTCAAAATTTGTTTTTGAGAGATTTTAATTCAGTTGTAAATGCATAATATTATAAAATGATTTATTAATTTCCTTCACTGAACTGAAATTATTAGTTTATTAGATTTTTAACTCATCTCTGTTATACCCATTATCAATTCATTATAAACAGTCACCTTTGCGATTAAATCTTCTGAATTTGAGATCCAATAATTTTAGCCTTTAACTGATCCATTGTGGGGGAGGTTTTTGCCCCCTTTTTTATTTATTGATTTATATTGGTGGGCTGTTGGCAATTGAAAAATTAAGGGAAACAGATATTATTCAATAAATAAAATCGTTAGTTATGTCTTATTTCTAGTTTTTCCAGATGAGATTTTTTAAAAAAATTTGTCTTATTTCAGAGTCTTTCAGTGAAACAGGTAAAAACAGTTCCCATTTGCTTTCCCATGTGTGATCAACATTAAGTCGGGAGGGCATGTAATTGTGAGATATGAGTCAAATGATAACAACAATGGATAGTTTTAGGTACTTCATTGATATCATAAAATGGTGACAACTAATATTGTAAACACACGCAGAGAAGAAAGAAAGAAATCATGTAATTACAGCTCAGTGTTGTTATCTTGAAGCATATTTAGCTCTTCAAAATATATTAACATTAATTTCTAAAAAAAAATCATATTAAAATATTTTGAAAATGCTATATATTAAATGAAAATTCAGAACATCTGAAGAATGGGCTAGCAATAAATATAATTAAAAAAATATTCCTCAGATAATAAAATGGATTCATTATTTTAGTAACTAATTTTTCAAAAACAGGAATTTAATCGTCAAGGAGAATATTGAGCCATATATTAAAGAAAGATTTTTTATGGCGATTTCTGAACAGTTGCTCTATGTTCCTCAAGTAAAAGCTATGTCTTCTTTTCCAGCTGAAATTAATACTCTCTGCATATCTTCATAAACCTTCCTTGTTTCATTTTTATATTTTTCCCTTGGAATTATTTAAAATATATGACTTGCACCTTTCAATTTCTTCTTCTAAAGCAAATAGTTAAAGGGCTTTCTCTGTAATAAACATCTGACAGCCAATTAGCAGAACTAATTTAATATGGAATCTGTGAAATCAGTCTAATATATACTCAATAAAATTTTCAATTATAAGCTTTGATTTTTAGGGGGGAGGTGGTAATAAATTTTTTAAAGAAAATATAGCTTCCATCATGTGAAAGAAATGTGGCCCAATTTTTGATGTTTTCATCATGAACGTTTGCGCAAGGAAATAAAAAAAAACCTGAAGTGGCATGATTTTTGTAACCACTCCAGAAAACCTGAAGTGGGAAAACGCAGGTGGAACATCACAAAAATTATCTATGTGTAAAATAGAATTTGTTAGATGTAGCTCAGTTTATTATTTCATCCTAAAGGTTAGCATTTCACATGCAGTGCATTAAAAAAATAAAACGAATTTTAATTTTAAGAATTATTATGATCAGAATGATGACAGTTTTTTTCGTATTTTCTTTTTTTTTTTTTTTTTTTTTTTTTTTCTTAAATGTATGTAGAATACTATTCATAGATTATTTATAACTTTAACATTTATTGTGTAATATTTTTATGTTTTTATGTTTTGTTTTAACATAAATGTTATTTATTTCATGTATTAGGTGTAAGGATGGCAAATTTGGTGTATGAAGACTCTGTTCCTCAGAGCGAAAAACAACTTGTTAAGCTAAAGGATTTTATTCAATCAAAATCATTGAATATAGATAAAAAAACTAGTCCAGTCAAAAGCCTTTTAACAAACTTTACCTGTCCTGATTCTTACACTGACTGTAAAATTGATCATGTTGATGTTTGTAAAAGTGCATCAAGCATCCTAGAAAATATTCCAAGAGAACATTGGAATAATAAATCACTGAACTGCTGTGATGTGTCTGAAAATTCTCTCTCATCACCAAGTTTCAACAATGGTGTAGAAATCTCTAGTCCTGTGATGTCTTATTCTTGTCCTGTTTGTAGATTAAATCAAAATTTCAACAACCTTATTGAACTGAATGCTCATATTGACAATTGTTTGAATAAAGTGGCTATTAAAGAAATACTTGCTGAGGATTCTTTGGGGAGTTCAAAAAGGTATATAATTAAAGTTTACCTAGTTTTTAAACTATTAAGCTATATATTAAGCTATAAAAATGAAGGTCTAGATTTTAAAATGTTTCTTAGAATAAAGATATTATTTCCTTTTTAACGAAGAGAGACAAAATATATGCCCTGAAATATTGTCCTTGAAGTCAGATATTCCTTGCATAATCCTTAGCCATAATCAGTTAAACAAAAATATATCTAAATGAACTCATCTGACATCATCTTCCTCAAAGTTATTGATAAAGAAGTAATAAACATTACAAATAATGGTTTTATAATAATTACCAATGTTAGTTCATCTAACTTGAAAAAGTATAATTTTTGCTAAAATTTGTTGATTTAAATCATCATGTCTTCTTGATTTGTTTATAAAAGTGTAAATTCACTATGGTATGTAAATTTTAATAATACAGCTGACTGTCAAGCTGTTATAAAACTAAAATTTAGTGGGGCAAATGATAATTTTTACTATGTTTTAATTTCAAATTTCACACAAAACTGCAAGAAGTTGATTATAATATGAATTTTTATATGTATGGATAGTTATACAGGATGTCCCAGAATTATTAGGACCAATTTCAGGGGAAGGTAGAGGGACATCACAAGGATTTAAATTTGCATAGCAACCCATGGTCGGAAATGTGATGGGTCGGAAAGTAGCATGACAGGTACAAGAAACAAAGCGACACAAGACTGAGATCATCTGAAATATTTATTGGTCAAAGATTATTACATGTGCTATAGTAGATGATATGTGAAAATGTCACAAAAGATGTTCAAAATTTCCACCAATGCTAGCAATACATGCTTTACACGAGACCATGGATTGGTGGACTTGCTACACCTGGATTTTGTTGGATAGCAACAAAGACCATTCCGGCAACCAGATTCATTTTGAAATCCATAGGTGTTGAGTACATAGCATTTTTCAGTGCACCCCATAGAAAGAAATCCATGCTGCTTAAATCAGAAGAGTGTGGTGGCCAGGGCATGGTCCACAATGCCCAATCCATTGGTGACTAAACACCTAATTCAAATGTTCATGAACACATCTGCTCTCATGAGCAGATGTGCTCCATCATGCTGAAACCTCATATGGCATCTGCTATGTTGTGGCACAAGGTCAGGTAAGGCTTGGTAGCACCTCTTGCAAAAAGATGAGATAATACACAGATGTTAGAGGTGCTGGCAACAAGTAAGGCCCAACTAAGAGGTCGTAGACCACATCAGCTCAAACATGTACTGAAAAGTGATGTTGGGCAGCATGAAGTCTCATGTGATAGGGATTCTTGCCAGCCCATATTGCACATTGTGGTAGTTGAACACACCATTTTGCATGAAGTTTGCCTCATCTGTAAATAAAAGGTAGGATTGGAAATGCTCTTCTTGGCGACAGTGATCGAGATACCACTGTGCAAAACACACGTGTTCATAATGATCTGTGGGCAGCAGCGACGGTACTCTTTGAAGATGATATGGGTGTAAGCCTTCATGCTGCAATACGCAATGAACACTATTCTCAGATCCTCCAACGGCAGTAGCAACACCTCGTACGCTAATACTCAGATCCCTTTGAATGGTATCCAACAAATTTTGTTCCATTCTGGGAGTTCGTAATTCATGGCCTACCCTCACTATGCCTATTACCTCGTAATGATCCATATTCATGCAAACTGTGATGCAGCAATGCAGATCCATTTCGTCTAACACTCTTGTGAACAACTCCCCTCCTATGCTCTTGTCAGTAATGCCATCTAATGCCAAACGAAGACATTTCCAGCCATGGGTAGCTATGCAAATCTAAATCCTTGTGATGTCTGCTACCTTCCCTTAAAGATTGTCCCGATAATCCTGGGACACCCTGTATATAAATTGATTGAATGAAATTATTGATAGTTTTAATCTTGATAGCAATGCTTATATAGAGTTAAAAAAATAAATTTGAACAAAAATTGCATATCATCATTTAATTTACAATTTATAATCATTTCAAATTATTACTGTAAATCATGTAAAATAGTACTCATTTCTGAATATAGAATTTTGGTCTTTTAGATTATATGTAAATTAACATTCTATATAGTACAGGGTATATACAGTCAAAAGTCGTTAATCCGGACTTGTCGGGATTTCGGCAATTCCGGATTATAGATCATCAGTTTAAATCTGGTAAGATGGCATGCAGAAATTATAAAATTATAAATATGAAAGCCTATCGCAGCCATGATGATCTTCTGCGACACCACTCCAGGCAACTCTGCCGATGTTGTAGGGTCAAAGGCAAACATCTGTGAGCGTAACCCCGCCTTAGACAAGCACCATGAGATGGTGGATGGTACCACGGGAGGTATAGACATGGCTGTAGTGCATTGAATAGTTGACAATGATACTGTTGGAACATTCGGGCCAGGCGAACAATCATCCTATCTTGCCTTGCATTTGTGCTGCTTGGCCTTCCTTCATTTCGTCGGCAATTTCCTTATAGCAACCATTGTTGCCAACATCTTTGCACAGCAATGTCTGTGTGCTGCAGGTGGTGGCCTAATGCTCAGGTATGATCACCGACCATGTTCGAAGTTGTTTAGTTGTCTGTGAGGTCTTCGATATCATCATAATGGCATCTTTAGTTGCTTCGTTATGGAATTAGAATGGCAGCAACAACAAACAGATAAATTTTCCGCCTCTGTTACTGGTTTTATACTTGGCAAATTGCGCACTAGAAATGCATGCTGTGATCACTATACCTGTTCATTTGCATGTTCGATCAAGATGTTTTTGCACACCAAATTTCGTCACGATCACAAAGTCCTTGGTGTTTCAATTTTTTTTTTTTTCTTTTTTTCAAAAGAGTGTAGTAGCATAATTTAGAAACTGAATTAATTTTCAATTTATTAAAATTTTTAATAGTTTAAAGCAGCATGTAAAGCGAACCTGTACAGTTTCAATGTTCCTGTTAGATAACTGAAATTTTAAATCTTAATTGTTTAGAATTAATTACAGATGTAATAATTTCAAATAATAAATTATTAGCCCAAAAAGCTATTTGTCTTGAAACACGATTTTGTGTTGTTTCACTTTTCGAGTCTGTTACCATTTGGAAAAACATCAGATATTTTTCTTTCATATTTAATCTGCCTGTAATTAATTAGCAAATCATTTAAAAGCAATAGATGCAGTTCTTAAGAATCCTTTTTTTTTTTTTTTTTTTTGTTTGTTTTTTTCTTTTTTTACTTTCCAATATAATTGCTTTATATAAAAATGCATTTAGTTTATGATATGTCTAATTCTTCTGAACTGCAGTTTATATCATTCTGAGCTATAGGAAACATCCAACCATTTTTAATTTTTAGACATGTGTTGTATGCATCACATGTACTGTGATGATGTCTTTGATAAAAGAAATGAATGATCTTAACATGAAAAATACAAAGGAAAGTATTTTTGCATTTATATTAACCCGTGAGTGCATGGATGGAAAAAAATGGCACAAATGCACGAGTTGGGTTTGTGAAACCTATTATACTTTACATCAGATATATCGTACTTGCATAATTTTTAAATTACAACAACTTTATCTTCTTTTAGTTTAACATATTTACGACACTAAAATCCTAAAATACAGTCAAAAGTCGTTAATCCGGACTCGTCGGGACTTCTGCGATTCCGGATTATTGATTTTTCCGGATTATAGATCATCAGTTTAAATCTCGTAAGATGGCATGCAGAAATTCTAAAATTAAAAATATGAAAACGTAATTTATGAAATAAAGAACAATGATGATCTAAAGGGTATCAAAATTTACAAAAAAAAAGCTTAATATTTATTTGTTTACTTTATTAAATATTTCTTTCAATGTAAGTTGTTTAAGTTGCTTTATTTTATGTGATAATACTTTCTCTTTAATTATATAAAAAGACATAATTTCTTGTTCAGTTACAAAGTTCCGCTGTTCAAGTATTGTAATTACTGTGCCGAGAATACCGACTAACTTGTCAATCGAAATTTTTTCGTTTTCACTAACCTCTCTGTCACCTTCTTCATGTCTTTATCCATTTTTTGCAGCAATTCCACTTTTTGTTTGATGGACATCGAAACATATATTCGTTTTGTAGATCGTTTGGAAGCTCCAGCATCGAAAATTCTATTTGATATAATCAAAAGTTCAAGTTTACTTTTATAGTATTGCTCTTACAGTCTGCAAAAAATAATAAGCCGGATCCAATTCGAAAATTAAGGAACAACACAATCATCAACATTAACGGAAATAGATAATTAGATAATTTTAGCTTATTCCGTCCGTTATACATAAAACGCGCACGCGAAAACGTATTCTGCACTTGCGCACATGCATATGCGCAGACGTAAAAGGTCTTATGCACACGCGTAAACGCCTATGCACATGTGTCAACACGGCGCATGCACAGAAAGTTTTTAGCTTTGAGATCCGGATTATAGATCATTCCGGATTATGGGTGTCCGAATTAACGACTTTTGACTGTAGATCACAAAATAAATTTTTACAACAAAGGTATTTTTTTTAGATATTATAGTAAACTTTAACACAAAACAAAATAGTTAAAATAAAGTAAGCATTTAATAAAGGTATTTTCTATTGTTAATGAATAGCTGACTCAAATCAATCAATGATTCATATTTCATTTTTACATTCATTAAAAAAAAACACAGTGTGCTCTAAACAAAGGTACTTTTTGCATTGCTCACACATGTATTGAGTTTTTCTATCCTTACAGTAGGTACATCGGCCCCTTTTCCTGTTTTATTTTGATGTTTCAGTTGTACAAATATTCCTGACAATTCTTGTGCAGCAATATGAATGTTTTTTGTCATTGCTCTTTCTTTTATATGGTCGGCTGTTAAATCGAACATGAGTTTTTTAAAAGTATTCTTCTGTTTTTATCTTCAGCCTTATCAGGTGCATTTGATTTGAAAATTAAATATGAATTATAAATTGCTACATTTAGTAGAGCACAAAAAATAACCATTGACAAATATTTCGTGTTTCGAGCAACAATATAAAATGTCATTCTCTCATCGAAACAGTCAACACCACCTTTTGTTTCATTACAAAAAGTTATGATTTCAGGTTTCTTCTTGTTATCCATACTTTTGTCAGTTTGTCATCATAATGCATGGATGACAAAAGGATCAATGTTTTACTCAGCTTTGGGATATATGAAAATGTCATATCTTGGTATCCAAACAAACTCCTCAAACAAAGATAATGCTGCAGCCGAATCATCAGTATTATTGAGATTTAAACTTTCATGTCTAAATTATAAAATTTAAATAAATAAATAAATAAATAAATAAAATGAGATTTTGAAAAAAAAAAACCTTGCATATTTGGACGGTTTGGTCTCACAGACCCAAGACGATTAAATAACTCCCTCAGAGAACCTACTTTGATGACAGTGCACATGTTAAATGATGTACTAAAGATAGGAAGGTAGATTGAATATCAGCAGTACAGATGCTGCCATCTGTTTGAAATAATAAAAATTGCATTTGCCCGAGTCTCTCAGATTAAACACGTGCAGCGGCGGGTTAAGAATCATCACAAAATAATATATTTTAAATTCCCTAAAATTTATTTAAATTAGAGGAGATTATTTATTTGTTTAATTGAATATGGCACAGCAGTTAAGAAGGGGTATATGTAACATTTTTGTAAATATTAGATATGTACTTTAAAGTAATTTTGTTCTAATGCTGCATTTTAATTTTTAGGAAATTACCACAACACAAAAAGCAGAGCTTGAAAAAGATAAAGACTGAAAAGAAGATTGAAGAATATTTTCGACGAAATGTAATATAATATGTATGTATATAAATATATAGCAATTTTATTTAGACAATTTATAATAAAAGATTTTATGAATGTATTATTTAAATGTGGCCTTTTCATAATAATAAAAAGTTACATTAATTGTTTTTACACGTAAATCTTTTTCATAATCTGAAGCATGAGTACAAAATTTCATTCTTACGTAACATTATCAAATAAGGTACAGTAAATTACTGTGTAATGCCATCATCAAAACAGCACATAATTAAGGTAACCATATTACTTTACCTGAAAGTAATCTCAATGCTGAAGCTTCATATTACATAATTTACAAAACCCTTTTTATAGCCAAAATTCAGGCAAGGTTTTTTTTTTTTTTTTTTTTTTTATTTTATTTTTTATTTATTTATTGTTCTGAATTTGCAAAATTATATGTTACAAAATTTGACCAGAAATCTTATAATGCAAATAATATAATTTTCCCCAAATAATTTAAAAATTGAGAAGTGTGAAATGTATATTGAGTGTAAAAGCAAGATAAATAATAACTTTGGCAAACATTTTTGGTTAAATAAGGAGTTGCACACATTTTATTTTACACTTTTCATTCAGTACAATATGAGTACAATTAATAGCAGCAAACTAAAATTTTGAAGTCTGTCATCTATCTTTCCCATCTATCATCTTTTAAAAGAATTTTTAAGCCAATGGATTTCAGTGTCCCTGCTACAATAGATGAAATGAATTAATCAAAAATTGACAGCAGAAAGGCTAAATCTATATTATTTTTTAAATGCAAAAGTTATGATCTTCTAATAAATAACACTTGAGTTTTGAAAATTAAAATTTTATTTTTCATATTTTCCAATTAAAAAGAAAGGATTTATTAGAAGAAAACTTACCAAAAGGTGTTAAGCAGTAATAGTATATCAGCAGTTAAAATAACAGTCAAAATACTTATAGAATACTGGGTGCATGTTATAACATTCAGTAGGTAACAGGTGAGCTCAGTAAAGTAAAGAAGCTATTTACAATTTTTTAAATATTGCTTCGCTACAGAGATATTAAAAGTGAAGTGGTTTATGACATGATACAGACTTAACAAAACGTTTTCTCATCATGTAGAGATATAGAGTATTGTACTTTACATGCAGACACACAAAACCCAACCAAAAAAAAACTTAATCTGAATATTTAAGATTATAATCTTTTAGCACCTTATTAAGTTATTAAAATTTATAAAATTATAAAAATAATAAATTTAAAAAAATTTCAATCCAATTTTTAATCAAAATCCATCTATGGATTTGAGAATAAAGTCTAAAACTAATTTAGATAAAAAAAAAATTAAGTCTATTTAGCTTAAAATAGTTATGATTAGCTTACTAATTTAAGAATTAAACCCATGGGAATTCGTAGAATAAAATATAAAATCATACATTTGAAACAAGTTGTCAATTATAGCAATGGTAGGAAAACGAACTTGCTATCACCCTTATCACAACATACAAACTGAATTATTTAAGATGTAGCTATGCATTTATTTCACTAGATTACTTTCACATGAGGTTTAGAGCAAAATAATTTCCCCCAAGGATAAACCTTTTCTTTTTTCAAAGTGTTAAATCGCCTAATCGAAATCACTAAAACACTTCTAAGAGGTTACTTCAAGATGTTTAATTAATAGATGTTAAGCAGACAGTGCAATTACTACTAAGAAATTTAAAGTCAATTTGCATTTTACTGCAATGTAGTTTACTTATAAATTAATAGAAATATTGACGAATTGTGTGTATTTTTCAAATACAATTTAAAATTTTATGAATACAGGAGAGCCCATCAAACAGTTAATTTATGCCACTTACCTGTCTACCAATTAAAAAGGAAGTATGTCAAATTTTTAGTCCAGCCGGTTAATTTACCAAGAAGAACTATTAATTTCGTTTTGGCATTTTGCTTTGATTCACTACAAACGTTATTTCACTTTTCAAATTGTTGACACCAAATATAATCGCCCTGTATTATATTTAAAGAAATTAAATAATGAAGAATTTGCATAAATGTATGTATGTTTCTCACATTGTGATAAAACAATGGTACCTAGAGCCATCCAATTTTGAATAACGTAATCCTCCTGCGAATATGGGCATCTGAAAGCCCAAGTTTGGAATTTGTTTTATTGTCGATTTCATATTTTGTAAAACTTTAACGAATTTTTGATTAACAAACTCAAGGATTTCAAAGTGAGCAATGGCAATGTTGTACCAAAAAAAAAAAAAATCATCTCTAGACTGTGTATCTCCAGGCAGTTGTCTAATATTCTTCCAATATATCTTAGATATGCTTATTTTGGAAATTCAAGATTGCTCTTTTAAATATTCTGCAATATTACTCTTGAACTGAATTTTATGGTTTAATTGCAAAGAACATCATATTTAATAAATAAAGGTAACACACAAAATGTTAAAAAAATGCTGCTTTGGACATAATTTAAAATCTGAAACCTTTTAGATTTTTTTTTTTTTTTTTGCTTTAAAATCTCTATTATTAAACTGCATTTAAAAAAAAACTGTAGATGATTTTTGTATTGCAGTGATTCCACTTATTACCTCCTAAATATTGTAATATGAATTACAGATCAACCTATATATTATATAATAACAAGAACTGTAAGCACTTAAAATTTTTTAAATTACTGTTTTATATAGTTTTCTTACAATATCCAAAACAGAAATTTTCTGTGTAAATTATTTTTCGTAAAAATAAAAGAAGTCCAAATCTTTATTTAATTCGACACATTTTCAGAGAAGCCCATATCAAATTTTCCTTCAGATTTTCATACTAATCACTTATTATCAAAAATTTATGTCTGCTTACATTTATAAAAAATTAGAATTTATTTCTTTTTGTAATTCACTTTTACTTTAATTCTTAATACAGTGACTAAATATAAAATTAAATAATACTGTAAAACTTACATGGTATAAAGAAGATCTAATTGTATTTAGTAACTCAATGTATTTTTTTGTGCCTACGGGTTTTTAATAGATTGAATGCACACAGGTCTGATGCTAGGTTGATAAAATTTATTTTATCAAAAGAAACTGGAAGTTTCCACAAAAATAGTGGTATAACTCTTCACAATATCACAGATTACAATCAGTGCTTGCATTTCAAATTACTAAGAACGTTAAGCACATCGGAATGCAAAGTGCATCTAAACAGTGATGCTAACCCAGAGATATCTCAGAACTCTGAACTAACAACTCAGACCAGATGCTCTCTCCGGTCTTATATAGTTTTCACCTGGCTGCCGAGATATTTCTAGAACTTTCTGCAACTCGAAATTACTGGAAGGCATGAGTGCCGAATACAGTTGCAGGCATCAGACCAAAATGTCGCCAGGTTTGGCAATTTCTCCCAAAAGTAGTCAATCATTGCCAGCTTGGCGATATCTTGCCAAATTAGCTAGATAGCCATATATTCAATATTAAATAGACTTTCCCTTGCATTTTACGTTTCCGTCATAGCATCGTTAGTCTAGATTTTCATGTTACATTATACAGAAAAACACAACAATTTCGCATGTAATTACATTAAAATCATCTATATATGTACAAAATTCGTAGCATCGCCACACTGGGCAGCACTGCGATAGGCCAGTGAAAACAGAGGTAACTTCTTGTCCCAGTCCTGTCGTTTCTGGAAACCACCAGTGAGAAGTTATTAAGGATGGTTCCATTAAACCCTGCCGTCTGACTGAGGATGTAAAGGTATCGTTTTGGATTTATCGATGCCAAGTTGTTTGCTGAGTTCTTTAATTACAGCCGAGGTAAAATTTCTTATTTGACCGGAACGTAACTGAAGAGGCACTCCGAACCTGGAAATTCAATGCTGTATCTGCTACTGTGACAGCTTTTTAATCAGGAATACGGTATGCTTGGTAAAGTAATCAATGACAACAAGGATGTATTTGTTGCCATCAGCAGTCTGAGGCAGAGGTCCCAGGATGTCAAAGACGATGCGCTCAAAAGGCGCTCCTACATTGTAAAGTTTCAGCTATCCTTGGTTGCGTTTCTTCGATGCTTTCAAACCCGCAAAAACATTGCATGACGACTGGCACCACGTTTCCAAGTCAGCCCTTGCATTACTCCAGCAGAAACGCTCTTGAATTCTATGCAAACTCTTCATTATTCGAAAATGGCCTGCTGCTGGACTGCTATGTAATTCTTTAAGGATTTTGGAAGTATCAGCTGCCATTGGAATGCTTTTCCATCATCTGATTCAAACTTTCGGTACAAAACGCCGTTTCGAATATGGAGTGAGTCCCAGACAGGCCAATATTGTTTTTTGTTGTAGGCTAGAAATGCCCTCCCAGGCAGGTTATCTATTTAAAGATTCCGTTAAGTCGATTATGAGTTTAATGTCGCCACCTTCCAGACTTCGTCTCTCCATGGGCCTGGGTCAAATAATGTTGAATTCGTAACTTAACGTATGACGGGCTTAAACAGCTGGTATTTCTCTTCGACCCTGAAACAATATTGACAGCTTTCTGGACAGGGTCTTCTACATAGTGCTGCGTCGGCAATTCCATGTGATGAGCCCTTCCGATGACAGATAATTATGTCATATTTCTGAAGTCTCTATCCACCTGGCCATTTGACCTTTGCGATTCTTGAAATTTAAGCCTCAGGCCAACAATGCATGATCTGCGCGCAGCATCAATTTTCTGCCGTGGAGATAATGATGGAAATGTTCTACTGCTTTAACTATGGTGAGCAAGTATTTCCTGCTGACACAGTAATTCCTCTTCAGTTTAAATAGACACTTACTCCAATATGCTACAACACGTTCTTGACCATTTATTTCTGGGACAAATCAGCACCGACACTCTTATTTCTCCTATCTGTGTTGAGAATAAATGGTTTGTCTATCTAAATATACATCAGGATTGTCGCAAATCTCACAGCTTCCTTCAGCTTGTTAAATGCATCCTCACATTCCTTTGTTCACAAGAACTTTTGCTTGCTCTCTGTCAGCTTATGAAGGGATCTTGTGATGGAAGAAAAGTCCCTCGCAAATCTCTTATAGTTACGAAACCCCAGT